TACCAGATTTTATTTACTCATTGCTCAGAATGTACATTCCTTCAGGGACGTTTGGGTTGTTTGGGCTTTTTGACTCTTATGAATAGTACTGTTATGAACATTGTGTACAAGTTTTTATGTAGATACATGTCTTCATTTTGGGGGACATATACATAGGAGTGGAATTAATGGGTCATACTGTAATTCTGTGTTTATTTTTTTAAATCTTTTTTTTTTTTTTTTTAAAGATTTTATTTATTTATTTGAGACAGAGAGAATGAGATACAGAGAGCATGAGAGGGAGGAGGGTCAGAGGGAGAAGCAGACTCCCCGCCGAGCAGGGAGCCCGATGCGGGACTCGATCCCGGGACTCCAGGATCATGACCTGAGCCGAAGGCAGTCGCTTAACCAACTGAGCCACCCAGGCGCCCTGTAATTCTGTGTTTAAACTTTTGAGGAACTGCTACTATTTTCCAAAGTAGCTGCACCATTTTATATTCCCATCAGCAGTACGTAAGGGTTCCAGTTTTCCCACATCCTTGCCAACACTTGTTAATATCTTTCTTTATCATTATTTCAGCCACTGTTCTAGTGGGTATGAAGTAGTATCTCACTGTAGTTTTGATGTGCATCTCCTTGACGATTAATGATGATAAACATCTTCTTATGTGCTTATTGACCATTTGTATATCTTCTTTGGAGAAATGATGACTTAGAAACTTTGCTCATATTTAAATTGCGTTGTCTTTTTATTTTGTTGCAAGAGTTGTTTATATATTCTGGATGCAAGTCCCTCATTAGAAATATGATTGGTAAAAATTTTCCAAAAAACATTTTTTAAACTTCCTAACTAATACTATTTTTGAAGATGAGTGGTCAATTAAATCTGACATGACACCACTCAACCACTAAAAGTGATGTGATAGCATTCATTGCCACACTTTGTTGTAAGATTAAGTGAAAGAAGCAGGTTCTAAAACATTATGATCCATTTAAAAAAATATTCATAGAAAATCATCTCGAAGTGTATATATCAAGGTGTACAGCACTCATCTTTGGTTGTTGCAATTATATATATATATATATATAATTTTTCTGTATCTTTTTTTTAATGATGAATATGTATTATTCCTATAATAAATTATTCTCAAATTCTTTAAAAGCTCAGCTGGCACATGAGTTTGACTGATTATGCTTATTATTTGGACTTTCCAAAATCTTATGTGGTGAGTGTGAAACCACAGTGGAGCCCATTTCAAAAGAACAACCTGAAGCTGTAGCGCTCAGTTCCATATAGACTAGTGGTTGGGAGGGGAAGGGGTAAAAGGTATGATGACGTATAGGCACTTAATACCAATCTGTATGACTTGCCTCAGTTTGCAAATCACTTCAGACATCTTCCTTGGTTCTACAACAACTGTATTGGACACCAAGGGTCAGAGACATTATGCTTTTGCCCAAGGTTGTACAGTCTTGTCTGTAAGGATGCTCCAACTACAGTTTGGGGGGCATCTGGGTAGCTCAGTCGGTTGAGCATCTGACTCATGAGATTGAGCCCTGCATCAGCCTCCACACTGGGCATGGAGCCTGCTAGGGGAATTTTCTCTCTGTGTCTCCCTTTGTGGCTTGCACTCTCTCTCTCCTAAAAACAAAAAAACCTACAGTTTGGGTTTTCTACTCCTGCTGCAATACTTGTAACTGATGGTCCTGCCTCTCATCCTGGGTTCTTTTTATAAAATTGTCTCCAAGGGTCAGGTATCTGAAGGATGACTTTCTGATACCTGAAAAGGTATGTTAACCTGGAGCAATATGCCATGCTTTTGGCTAAGAGTATGTAAATGGCTACAAGTTGTCCCTGTTCTCCACCATTACAAACTCAAATGCTTTTCTTTCATGCTCTATCTCAGGAAAGGAACAATTGTTATTATATGAATTAACTTATGTCTTGTTATTGTTTACTTTTTTTCATTTATAAGCTTGATTACTAAGCTTTGAATATTGCTTTCTTTTAAAGCTGTTGCTCAAATGAAGTCATCTTGACATTTATATTTGCTTTATTACCTTTCTATGATTTTTACAGCCTTGCAGACAAAAGACCTGTTATTTCCTTGGCACAGGCTTCATCATTTCTGTATATGAGAAAGGAAGATGATTTTTTTTTTCCTTTGCTCAAATATTTGTGGCATTATTGGAGTTCTCTAGGCTAAATTAGATGGAGAAAAATCTGAAGTCATTTTGAAAGTATGTAGCTTTCTCTAGATTCTAAACCAGAGGTTAGTAAACTTCTTCTGTAAAGGCTCAGACAATAAATATTTCAGACTTTGTAAGTGTCTGTTGCAACTACTCAACTCTGCCATTGTCGTGCAAAGGCAGCCAGAGACAATTCGTAAACAGGTGGGCGTGGCTGTGTGCTAATAAAACTTTATTTACAAAAATAGACAGTGAGCATATTTAGCGTACAGGCCATGGTTTGCCGACTCCTGTTTTCAATTGTTCTGAAACATTTGTCTACCAGGAATCTAATTTTTTGCCTGAATGATTTGTTATCAGCCATATGTTTCTTTTTTTTTTTTTTAAAGATTTATTTATTTATTTGAGAGAGCGAGAATGAGAGAGAGTACATGAGAGGTGGGAGGGTCAGAGGGAGAAGCAGGCTCCTCGCTGAGCAGGGAGCCCGATGCGGGACTCGATCCCAGGACTCCAGGATCATGACCTGAGCCGAAGGCAGTTGCTTTAACCAACTGAGCCACCCAGGTGCCCCTCAGCCATATGTTTCAAAGCCTCTTTCTATCACCCAAGATGCTAGTGGATTTTCTCTTCAAAAATAAAATATGATACTTACAAAGCTAATTATTACTCACAACATCCAAAGCTCAGTAAGAATCAGAAAGCAAGTCTGGTATTACTCAGTCACCTATTTATCTCTTCCTTTCTAAGATGAAGAGTTGCTGCAAGCTGCAACCTGGACCCTATTTGGTCCAGGAACATATCCCTGACCGCTTTCCATGTTTTAAACCTCTTTCCAATTAGAGAAGGTATCCCAGTTCATAAGCTATCCAGTCAGGATTTTATTTCACTGTGGCCATCTGAACCACAGATCTGAAGAGCATCTTTACTTCTATCAATCAGTTTCTTTGAAATTTATTAGAGAACAAAAATGGTTGTGAAAAAAATTCCAATGACTGAGTTGCAAGCAAGACCTATTTTTTGTGGTTTCCTAGTTACTTTCTCACATTATGTCTCCATTTACTGATGTGCAGTTGGGAATTATAAGACCTTTTTGTAGTAAAGATTCTAGAGTAAGGGGTAACATAGAAAGGGTTGGTAACCTTTCATGATGAATTTTATTTTTTATTTTTTTTTATTTTTTAAAGATTTTATTTATTTATTTGAGAGAGAGAGAATGAGAGACAGAGAGCATGAGAGGTAGGAGGGTCAGAGGGAGAAGCAGACTCCCTGCTGAGCAGGGAGCCCGATGCGAGACTCGATCCTGGGAGTCCAGGATCATGACCTGAGCTGAAGGCAGTTGCTTAACCAACTGAGCCACCCAGGCGCCCCCATGATGAATTTTATATATAAAGTTTTTCCATGCAAGAAAATGTTTCTGTTTCTTAACAAATATTTTAGAGAAGATTGTTTTTAAATGTCTGCTGTTATGTTTGCTGAATAAAATAAAGCGATATATTTTTTAATGTGACAGCATTTTATCCCAAAAAGCGACAAGAATCTTTTCCCACTGCCACCTTAACTTATTTTTAAATTAACATTTTTTCTGATGTCAAAGTAATACAATTTTATAGAAAAAAAATTGGGAAATTTAGAAAGCATAAATAAGAAAAGTAAAATCACAACCAATCCCTAAAGATAACTATTGCTCACATTTTACTGTTCATTTAGATAGCTCTTGATGCATATGTGTATATATAGATTAGATGCAACATGTTCACCAGCATGAGATACTATACAAAGCATTTTTGTATTCTGCCTTTTATACTTCTACGTTGGTAAATCTGGATCAACATTAACTTTGAGGGCTATGTGGCATTCCACAGTATAGATGTACTTACTGTAATCTGCTTGATGATCTCTTATTTGTATTTTAAGTGCTTTGTACTTTTCCACTATTACAAAGAGTGCTTAGGTAAACATTCTTGTACATATCTTCTTGTCCTGCCAGAGTATCTCTTTATGATGAACTAATAAAGTGCCACTAGCAGAAATATGTGTGTACTTATGTATGTATAATTTTGACATAGAAAAGTTTATGCTCAAATTATATTCTAACAGTTAATGAGAGTGCTTTATACTCTCACCAATACTGGGAAATTTCTATAATTTCTCAACAGATCAGTTATCAGCATCTCAGCATCCTGTGTGGTTGCTATTATTGTTTGTTAAGTATTTTATGTTCTTTAAACCAATACCTACGTAGCACTTAAACTATGTGTCAGAGACTGTTCTAGGTGTTTTTATGAATATTAACTAATTTTTAAAAATATTTTATTTATTTATTTGAGAGAGAGAATGAGAGACAGAGAGCACGAGAGGGAAGCGGGTCAGAGGGAGAAGCAGACCCCCCGCTGAGCAGGGAGCCCGATGTGGGACTCGATCCCGGGACTCCAGGATCATGACCCGAGCCGAAGGCAGTCACTTAACCAACTGAGCCACCCAGGCGCCCCGAGTATTAACTAATTTAATCTTCATTGTAACCCAGTAAAGTAGGCACTGTTATTATTCTTAACTTAGAGATGAGAAAGCTGTGAAGCAACTGGAAATTCACACATCTGGTACTAGTGAAGCCAGGATTCAAAACTTCCTCATTATTCTAAGGTCTTTCCACTTGATCATCATGCCCTGCTGCCTCTTCGGAGGAAAGAAAAACTTAGCTGGCTAGGAAGTGAACCTGGACAACAGGGGTCAGAGAGCCAAATCCTAACCACCAGATCTATATATTTTCCCACCTATATGTTTTCTAATTATTTAAAAAATAATCTCTTTGATTTTTTTTTTTTTTTTTTTAGGATATATCAAAGTCAGAAGAAACCAAAAGAAGCTCTGCCCCACTACCAAGAGGCTTTAGAATATACTGAGATCAGTAGAGGTGAAAAAAGTTTTGAGTGTGTACCAATATTGAGGGAATTAGCAGGTGTTGAGCAAGCCCTGGGACTTCACGACGCATCTATCAACCATTTTCTACAGGTAAGCTGCAATATGCTGGCCACCAAAGCTCTTCTGGACCCAGTGCTTTTCATAGATACAAGTGGAATAGCAGCTCTGAGAATGCCCGGTTTTGTTGTCTGCTCTGGATAAGAACACTTGGCCTGGAGTAGATGTTCAATAAACATCTTCATATAGATGTCTGAGTGGATGAGTATGGGATAGGGTCCTCTGTTACCAGGTGCATGGTCCTCAGATAGCCCAAGACTCCCTGAAGACAGCTTTTCTCATATTAGTGGCATGATTCAAGTCTTATTTTCTGAAGTTCTTTATCTTTTCATGTTTATCCATTTAGAGCTTATGTTATTAAACTGATTAGGGTTCTTTTCTACTATACTCTAAAATCTTCACTTGAGCCACTTGGAGTTGTCATTTGTTAGCTGCTGATCTACTTTATCATCATAGGAGTCCTATGTGAGTGTGTCAGTCAGAGTTCTCCCGAGAGACGGAAGCAATAGGATATATAGAGAGAAAGAGAGAGAGGGATTGATTTTAGGGAATTGGCTGACACAGCTGTGGGGCACACAAGCCTGAAATCCATAGGGTAGGCAGGCTAGCTGAAAACTCAGGCAGGATCTTTGCGTTATAGTCTGTGGATAGAATTCCTTCTTCTCCAGGAAACCTCGGCTTTTTGCTCTTTAGGCCTTCAACTGATTGGCTAAGGCCCACTCACATCACTGAGGGCAATCTCTTTTACTCCAAGTCTGATTGTAAATGTTAATCACATCTACAAAATGCATTCACAGAAACATCTAGACTAGTGTTGGACCTAAAAACGGGGCACCATGGCCTCGCCAAGATGACACATAAAATTAACCATCACAGTGAGTTCAATGTTTTTGTATTGCAGCATCTGCAAAGAGCACATTTTAAATTGTTTTGTCTGAAATTTTCCCTGTTAAAATTGTAAAATATAAATTGAACTCATTTTTGTTATTTCAAATGAGACGAAATGACATGGGACTAAGAGTTCTGGATTGCTCTTTTTTTTTTTTTTAAGATTTTTTTAATTTATTTGACAGAGACGTAGTGAGAGAGGGAACACAAGAAGGGGGAGCGGGAGAGGGAGAAGCAGGCTTCCCGCCGAGCAGGGAGCCCAGTGCGGGGCTCGATCCCAGGACCTTGGGACCATGATCTGAGCCGAAGGCAGACGCTTAACGACTGAGCCACGCAGCCGCCCCCGGATTGCTCTTTTCTTTTTAAAATTGTCGGACCATGTATACGCCCATGCACAGTTTTTAGAATGTCCTATTCTGTCACTCTATCTGGATTATCTCTCTTAATTACTATCACCCTGTGACATAGTATTATGTCCACTTTATAGATAAGGAAGTCAAGAATTAGAAAGGTTGAGTGATATGCCCAGGACTACCATCGTTGCCAATAAATGGCATAGCCCAAATTCAAACCCAGTTGTTTTTAGAAAGATTTTTCTAGCTGGTATGTAAGAGAATGGACCAGGGAAAATGTGCCAACAGTGGAAGTAGGGAGACCAGTTAGGAGACTACTGAAGTAGCAAAGGCTAAAGATGATGGTGCCTTGGACAAGCATGATGATAGTAAGGATGAAGCAAAGCAGATGGGTAGAATTGATGACGTATGGAGATAGATTGGATGTGGGGAAAAGAGAATGGGGAAGAATCAATGATGACTCCTGGGTTTCTGGTCTGAACAACTGTGTGGATGTTTGTGCCAGGTACAGTGGTGGTTGGGGAGCAGGTGTTGACGGGTGATGGAGAGCTGGTGAGCTCAGGTTTTGATGGCGGGTCTGAGATGCCCATAGAGGGGGAAATGTCAGATAATCAGGACTAGAGCTCAGAAAAAGGTCAGGAAGTCATCTACTTATACACAGTGGTTGCCTTAGGAGAAGATGAGATCACCGGGGGGGTTTATGGAGTGAGAAGAGAAAAGGACATGACAGAGCCTTAAGTAACTTCAGTGTTCATTGGTCAAGTCAAGAAGGGTAACCTGGCAAAGAAAGCAGAGAAGAATTTGGCAGAAAAACATGAGTAAAAGTGAAAGTGGTATCTTCTGTGTCTTTTGATACCTATTGCTGTTATGAAGGACACAGAGCTGTTGGGAGAATAAATGAATGAATGCCTGATACATAGTGCTACACAGGATTTTAAAAATTCCCCTCTTTCCTTTCCTTTTTCTTTTTCTTTCCTTGATGACTTGGTCAAGGGAAACATTGGGGCAGTGAAGAGGCAGAAACCAGATTGTGTGGTGAGTGAGATGTGAGGAAGCAAAGGTAATAAACATAGGTACCTATTCTTTTTAATTTTTTAATTTAAATTCAATTTTTAACACATAGTATATTATTAGTTTCTGGGGTAGAATTTAGTGATTCATCAGTTGCATGTAACACCCAGTACTCATTACATCACATGTCCTCCTTAATGCCCATCACCCAGTTACCCCATCCCCCCAGCCACCTCCCCTCCATCAACCCCCCAGCCACCTAGAGGTCAATAGAGTTCAGAGTCTCTTATGGTTTGTCTCCCTCTCTGTTTTTATCTTATTTTTTCTTCCCTTCCCCTGTGTTCATCTGTTTTGTTTCTTAAATTCCACAGATCAGTGAACTCATATGGTATTTGTCTTTCTCTGATTGACGTATTTCACTTAGCCTAATACCTTCTAGTTCCAACCATATCGTTGCAAATGGCAAGATTTCATTCTTTTTGATGGCTGAGTAATATTCCATTGTATAAATACCCTACATCTCCTTTATCCATTCATTTGTCGATGGACATCTGGTCTCTGTCCATGGTTTGGCTATTGTGGACATTGCTGCTATAAACATTGAGGTGCAGGTTCACCTTTGAATCACTATTTTTGTATCCTTTGGATAAACACCCAGTAGTGCAATTGCTGGGTCATAGGGTAGCTCTATTTTTAACTTTGAGGAAACCCCATACTGTTTTCCAGAGTGGCTGCATCAGTTTCCAACACCACCAACAGTGTTAAGAGGGTTCCCCTTTCTCCACATCCTCAGTTGTTTCCTGAGTTTTTAATTATAGATACCTATTTCACAAAGTACTAAGAGATGAGGAAGATCAGCCCAGGCAGAGGGAAGAGCATGTGCAAAAGTCTGAAAGTGAGATGTAGCTCCACTTCAGGGAACCAAACCAAGTTCCCTCTGCCTGGGCAGTGGGGATGGTGAAGGTGGTAGTTCGGTATCATTCAAGTAGGGTGTTGAAAGTCATGCTAAGGAATTCGAGCTTCATCCTAAGGGCAGTTAAGGGTTTTCAAGCAGGGAGACTGACATCATGAGATTATCAGTCTAGAAGGGTCGCTCTGTAGTATGGAGAATGGACTGGATGACAGAGAAGTAATCAGGGAGGTATTAGGAGACGGCCGCAGCAGACCAGGTAGGGGATGATGACACCTGGACTCAGGTGTTGTCACGGGGATAAAGAACGTGGACAGACTTGCATAGAGAGTAGAAACAGTGGGTTTAGGAGTTGGGGGAGTGAAGGAGGCAGAGTCGTCCAGCGTTGGGCCAGGTTTCTGCCCAAGGTCACTGTGTAGCTGGTGGGACCATTTACTGAGTGCGGGAACTCAGTGGGCTTGCCATGTTTTGTTAGTATCCACAATTCTGAATATTCTTATACAAAATGCTTTTTTCTTTGATTATTTGCTAGTATAAATTTTCAGACATTAAACCACTAGCAAGAAAGATGTGAATATTTTATAGTTCTTGATTCGGGTTGACATTCTGCCAAAGGGTTATTTTGACTTACCTTGCCACCAGAAGTTGGTTTGTCTTTGTTCTTAACTGAACCAGTTTCATACCAACCTTGCCAACTCTTTTACACTATTTTTTACTCCCATGTTATAGAATATAATCTCAAATTTAATTAAAAATTTTTCCTTAGTCTGGTTTTCCTAAATGTTTCCTGACGATATCCAGTTCTGCCCTTAAAATCTCCGTGCAATCTTTGCTGTACCAGTTTCTAAGGTTCAAAGAAAGGCATCAAGTGGTAATATGCTCAGAGTCCCCCCAGGGAGGGTCATTACCCATAACAAAATCCACTGAAATGAAAGATAGGTGGCTTCTAAGACCCAACAGTATCCATTCCAAAGATTTGAATTTGGTTTAGAGAAGCATTTCCCAAACTGTATTCCACAGAATATTAGCATCTCACACATCTCACAAGAATTCATAGGTCTTCCTAGAAAAGGTGTTTGTGATTAAATAAATTTGGAAACTATTAAGTTAAAACTAAACACATGTCTCTAACACATGGTTTTACAGTGCATTTAAAATGCCAGTGTGGATTGAGAATCAGGAGATGGATCAAATACATCTGTGAGACACTAGTGTTCCCTGGGCCATAGTTTAGGAAACACTGCCTTAGAGAAAGAAATTGGAATTTCTAAAAGCAGGGATCATCAAAGGGATTCTACCTTCCAGGGTATTAGGCCTTATCACTCCTAGGAGCCCTTGGCGCTATGTGAATGGAAAATGGGTTAAGTAGTGCCTCTTGTTTGTAGGCACAGATTCACATTTTTTTTAAAGATTTATTTATTTATTTGATAGAGCGGGGGAGGGGAGTGTAGTGGGAGAGGGAGAGAATCTTAAGCAGATTCTCTGCTGATCGTGGAGCCTGATGCCAGGCTCGATCTCGTGACCCTGAGCTGAAACCAAGAGTTGGACACTTAACCACCTGAGCCACCCAGGCGCCCCCCCCTCCCAGATCCACCATTTTAAAGTATTTTGCCACATTCGTTCTCCCTATCTGTCTATATAGACATACACATACACATGCACTTATATATATGCACAGACTGGTAACCATTTACATTTTTTAATCATCTGAAAGTATTTGAATATACCGTAACCTTCTATCTCTGATTACTTAACAAAGATAGTCTCGTAGGTAATCACAATACAGTTATCAAATTCAGAAATGTTCACATTGGTAGAGGCCATATTCTATTTTGTCAGTTGTCCCATACTGTCCTTTATGACAATTTTTT